ATATCATATCATATCATATCATATCATATCATATCATATCATATCATATCATATCATATCATATCATATCATATCATATCATATCATATTATATCATATCATATTAATATAGCATTGTTGCTATATTAAAGCATCAGCAATATTAAATTTTTTAAGATCACAATTCTCGTAAATTCTTTTCGAATATGTATGAATCATCAAATAATAACTCAAATTTTGGTTGATCATTGAAGAGCTGTTTTCTTTCACTCAATCACGCTTTGGTAGAACACCAATACTGCAAAATCTCTCACCTTTCTTGCTCGCTATATTATTAATTCATTTACTAGACAGAATGTGATCTTCTCGATTAGAGGAAGCCCAGTTGGGAATTCACCACAGGATGTGATTTAGAGAATTACCGTTCTTGGAATAAAATATCACTTGGATTTGTAAAGAAAGATCATTATAAATTAAGTTTCCATGGTGAAATTTAGTATTTTAATCCCTAGTTGCAAAGATTGGTGGTAGAAATATTAAACCCCTTTATGCTATTGATTAATTTGAGTTTGAAAATCTGTTTAACCAAATTGAAATATTATGCTGCCAAAAACACTTAGTACAAATAAGAATAGCTGGACGACTGAAATACCAGGAAGCCTTAAACCTCATAGCATTTTTCTGACATGGTCAACTTTTATATCAGGTATACGATTTATATAATTTATAATATGTATAATATATAATTAAACAACTGATTTCAAGTATGTATTGCTATAAAATATATTTGGCTGTATCAAGCAAGTATCAAGAACACATCTTTGAAATCAGTATGTTTATCTATAAGTTATATATGTGTATTCCCGAAGACTTTAATCACAGTAAAGGATAAGATGAAACTGTTTTCAAATGTAATTGCCAATGGGAGGCCTTCACGTTATTAGTAATTTATGTTTCTATGTTGGCCTTGTCCTGAAGTGGGTTTGCTTCAACTTTAAAACATCCTTTACGCTTCTTTAACAATAGAAAATTTTTGGCTATCTAGAGGAACATCAAAGCGCTCGCAGGACTTTTTATTAACTGTTTAAGTCTGTTTGTATAAACAAATTTGCTACTCGTCTTCCTCGCTAAACATATCTAACCATCGTCTTTAGCCTCTTAAGCTCTTACCTCGAGATTATGATATATTCTGTACTTCGATTTCTTTCTTTTGACAATTGTTAACCTTCCTCACAAGTTTGAACGTGCTATGTAGATGATTTCTTCCTTCACTTTGCAAATAACAACTCAACAAAGTTAAGTATGTACATCTACCTGCTGATGCTCTGTATCTCGGCGAATGCGTAATTATTCTCAGCCTTTTTGTCCGCCAAAGAGCCTGATCTCAATCAAAACAGGCCATCGCGCAATAGGAAGCGACCGACATCTGGTTTTGTGCAAGACACTTCATCTTTGAAAAAAGAAGTTGCCAGGCAACTAACGGTGGCTATTGTTTAAGGAAATATTAGGATTGTTTGAGCTGCTGGTTTTTGTCAATGTTTGATCACTTACTTTGTTCTCGTTCCTTCTTTGATGAGGAGTATTGTTTCGACAGTCTTCATTCCTATTCATGCATTTTGCAATCAACTTCCGAATCACGATTCTTTGATCGCCGTGATTATTGCTCGTTATGATTAGACTTGGTTAATCATACTTATAGTCACCGTGATCATTAATACAGTCCAAATTATTTGTTTTATTGAGTTTAGAATATACAAAAGTGCCACACTTGAAGTTACAATTAAGAGAGACTTTAGAAAATTTAGCCTTCCTCTTTCTGGTTTTAAAAAAGAGAACAAAATTTTTGTTAAGTATCACAATCAAAAATAAAATCAACATAGCATTCAAGAATAATAACATTTGAAGGTCTTCTCTTGCAACTGGATTAAAAAGCGGAACAAACAGCTGGATATTGAATCATTGGATGGAATCCGATCATAGGCATAAAAACAAGCAATATGCATAGAATTACCGATATTCGGCATAAGAGATTAATCGATCGATTGATTGATCGAGCAGGCAAGTATCCGAATCAAGGGCAGAAAAACGGATCAATCACCAGCATCAAAGACACAGGGTGTCGGGCATCAAAAACACAGAAACCGATAACTGGCATCGATCGATGAAGCAATCATTCAAACCTGTCTATCCAAGACAACAAAAGGCACCTGTTGCTGGCATAAAAGCCCACCGATGTCTGACAGGAAACTGATTACTTGCATAAGGGATCGATCGACCGATCAAGTACTCAAGACTGATCGCTCAACACCAGAAATTTACCAATCAAACCCTTTTACGGTCAATCCGTAAAAGGTACGAAGTCATAAAAACATGCAAATTGTAGGTAGAGCAAAACTCACTGATCACTAGCATAAAATGGGTGGGTCCCAAGCACCAAAAGCCGTCACAGACCAGTTGTCCTAAATCTTATTGTTGCTTGTAATGAATCGTTGATGATTATTAAAAGATACATTGTAGTGCTCAATTTTATTGTGCATGTCATCTATCGAGAAATTTATTGAGTAATTTTAGCCAAAATTCGCCGGAAGGACTAAAGAAAGGGGGTTTTAGAGCTCCAAGGTAGTTTTGTTGAGCAACTTCACGAAAAGTTATGCTAAATAGGCATTAAAAGCACTTGCCATGCCAAGATGATGTTTTTATTCATGTTCTTTGGAGCCGAGTTCACACTGAGTGAACTTCAAAAGTTTTAACGTAAATAGTGAATTTCTTTACTGATTATTTGACCTGATGGATGGCACATAAACCTCGATGTAATCTTGTCGCAAAAATTATATTGTGATTGTAGCTTTAAGTTTTATCTGCTTCGTCAAAATAATGAAAATCTATTTGCAATTTTGAAACCAATGGATTAGAAGAATGCCTGAAAATCGATTTATTAATGAATTTGATTACATAATGTTCTCTCCGTTTTTCGAATATATATTAATCTAGTTTAATGCAAATATAATTTGATTGTAAAGTCGTTATCTGTGCTTTATTCTGCCATTAAATGTCCCAACTGACTCATGATGAAATACGTCATAATGGATACACCTGGTTCTTAAATTGAGGTGATTAATGCTAACGATCTAACGTAGAAACTCTTTTGTATGTCGGGATTCCAGTTTCAGTAATCAAACTTTTGCATCAATGACATGCTTTACGACGTAAAGAAAATCAGGGCAGATTTCAGTACGCTTAATTATATGCACCCGGTTAAGCTAAAGCCAAGCTTTATTTTTACCCGGGTTCGGAAAACTGATTGAAGTCCGCTTTGAAACTATCTTAGTGGCCCTTTTGACTGAAACTTTTTATTGGAAATTTTTGGCAGGCCAGGCTAGAACCGACCTATCATTGTTACAGCATCTGCATCTGATGGTTTATAAGCGTCGTTTAGAGGCTTTTATTATCCTGAATGCTTGCAGTCTTATAACCAGATTGCAAAGAGAATTGCCTTTTCTTTAGTGTTTACCATCTGCCTATTTTCATAGCACCCTCGTTTCATCCGGCTTTCATTCGGCTAAAGAGGATCTTGATAAATATGCCTTAGCTTCTGAGAAAACAATACTATTTGCGAGTTTTAAGTTTTTTAGACAATTTCAATCGGTGTTTATTCATTTGCTTACCAATCCTGCTTACCAATCAGATCGTCTTTGAGTTTCATCCATTTTTTATTTAGATGCAATTGCGTAGCCATCACGAGCACGCACTTGCGTCTCCTTGCTTTACCTCTCTTTATCTTTGCATTTTTCTGCAAAATAATCTTCACAATTTGTATCTTTTTAGTTTTGACTTGTTTTCAGTGTTTCTGTGATTCGTTTTACGCGATTTTCCCATGCACCAGACTCAAGACTTTATTAAATCATTATTAAAAAACATTTTAATGTACCAGCAACAATAAGGCTGTTAGTTCGACTCTCAGCAATCTTTGCGATAAACAAGATTGGGTTTACTGACATTTGTTACAAGCGAATGAAATTATGAAACAATTCTATTCCATTTTGCGCTTCGTTAACAAAGTAAATGTTTTTTATCGTATGAATTAAGATGTTATCATAAGGGTGGCTATTTTTATTTTTTTTAATAGTCATATGTAGCCGTTTTATAAATGAAGATAAGAAAATATCTACTTTTGCACATATTGCATTGTTGAAATGAGAAAGTGTCGTCTATTATACATTTGTTTGTATTTATTGATAGGGCTAGCTTTCTTGCAAATATCTAGTTGTCTACACATCTGAAAATATCAACCATAGTATCTTGTGTATAACTTGTTTTAATTGAGATGATCGCATTGAGCATGTAAATCGGAGTTAAATCTTAGAAATATCCTGTTCTATACACTCATATGACAGATCGGTAAAGAGTTATGTTTGTTTATTGTAACTGAGTCCCCGTTTAAACTGCAGAAAAAGAATGGAACCAAAGCATGGAACTCCTTGGTTCCGTTCTTGTTTAGGCACGATGACTTTTTTTAATCGCATTTACACTTGAGTAAAAAACGGAACTTCAATGCGGAGCACGCGCAATGGTGCGACGAAGTAGTCTGACATTATCAGAAAATCTCACTTCAACGCTAGATTAAGCCGCGTTTTCAATCGCAAAAAATAAGTCCGTCCCTGACTGTTCACATTTTAGAAGACCAGCATGACTTGGGAACGGACCAAAAGAGCTTCGCTTTTTAGCGAAACCAAAGTAGCCTGTGCCCCAGATTCAAATACGTTTAGTCTGGGGTCAGGAACTCAGGCTAAACCAAAGAACAACAGAACCTTTCCCAATGTAGCAGGGAACCAAGATACCTAGAGTAAAAGCAAAATCTATTGTCGCTTTTTAGACACGGAACCACCGACATTGTGGTCATCATTTATTGAGAGTAACTTATTTTTTCAGGCATTTAGAGTTTTGAGTGAACTACTTGGAGGAGACGCTGTGTTGGGTTTGTGAAGGGTCTGTTGGGAAACAGTGGAAAGCTCCTATTGATTTTATTTCTTTTGAATCTTTTGCTTTTTGGCAACTTATTGCCCCTAAACAACTAGTAATTTATAACAGTTCAAAGCAAAGTTTTACCAAATTGAAATATTGAATTACGACCCTGAAGTATAGTTTAGAAATGCCTCTTTCATAGTACCCTGGGTACTATTGCCACATAAATCGAACGTGGAAATGGAACATAGGAGCCGAGAAGCGTCCTCCTCCGCTTTTTCGCTGCTAACTTCTTGTTCCTCGCTCAAATTTTCTGGCTTTGGTACCCAAGGTTTTTTCTTAGCTGCTGTTATCAGAATTCTAAGTAATTCTCTAATGTCCTGGAACCAGGTGTGAATTTACGAAGCAATACGATGTTTATTAATTTTATTTCCGAATCTTTAAATGTATTTGCTTTTGCAGGATCATATTAAAATCTAGCCTTCTTATAACGAAAGGTAGCGAAAGTCCTGTTCTATCACTTATTTTTTATGTCATATTTCAGCAATCTAAAGAAATACACCGTGAGTCCTTTGCGAATGTTAATCTAACCTCCGTTCTGCTTTCTCGCTACAGGCTAACATTCCTCGTATTTATCCCCAGAAAAATCACCTTTATCTCTTTTATTCTAAACCAATTCACCAGAGAACCTTTTGGTCAGTACAGATGATCATTGCAGAGCGACATAACAACACTCGATAAAAGTTAGTAGTATTAGTCTAAAATCTGTAAGAAACGAGACCTCGACACGTGACAACTCACAGTATAAGCTGAAAGCTATTTTTTCTCTGGCAAAACACGTTTGTAGATGAGATGAGATATTTAATTAATGTTTATAAATTGTTAATGTAGAAACAGAAGCCGAATAAAACATTTGCGAAAGGATTTGTGACTTCACACATGATTGCTCAAAATATTTTGGAGCCTCCCATACCATTATCATGTTTTGATGCCATGTAAAGTTAGGATGCAGATGGCTTGATTGGCGAGCAGCAGTTTTGATGAGGTATTATATGCGTGAATGGCTGCAGTTTCAATTAATATTTTATGTTCATGGGCCGTTATTTCGTATACCAAATGTATAAAAGCAAGGATGCAAGAATCAAATCGCTACAGCGGCATCAGACATAATTGATTGCGTAGATCGTCTTGGCTTCATAACATAGTCTACTGAAAAAGCAGAGCGCAAAATAGAGGATCGGATATATTCTTAAAGACCCGGATATTTGTGTCAGTGTGCTTCACCAGCAAAACCATCATGAATTCGAAGACTGTTTTAGGATTAAAGATTTTAACGATGATTTTGGTCTCGATAGCTTTCATCTTCTATATCATAGCTATTTCCACTGACCATTGGCAAACGACAAAGTACAAAGTTGGTGTACATAACATTGGCATATTCAGTGGTCACAGCCATGAGACTCAAAGTACTTATCAGAGCTTGTATCAGTACACATCATCACACAGCGGTATATGGAATGGTTGTGCGACTCTTGAAGGCAAGAAGATCTGCTCGACCTTAAAGGCCCAGTTTGGTAAGAAAATTATTTCACGTTAAATAAAAAAACATGTTAACTGCAGAAAACAGCTTGTGTGGGAGGAGTGGGTTACCCTCTAACTTTATGCCAGGTGAAAATACCCCCTAATCTTTTATGAAACTTTTTTAGATTTTTTATTGGAAAGACGTTTACAGGTCTATTTCAAGCAGAATTCCCCCCCCCCCCCCCTCTAGTTTCTTCAATAATCTGATAAAAGAGCACATGGTGAAAAAATAGTCTTTAACTTCCTTATTTTTCTTTACCACCATCGCGTCTGTCGATATACTGTATATTGACCTTTTATATTACCCCATTGAATCTAAAAATGGTTGTAATGCTACAGAGTGATCTCAACGAGAAAAAGATACGCTTTTATTAGTGAATGCGCTCTCAGATTACTGTCCGACTTCTATAACCATGACAGAAAAAACTAATTATAATAATTTGTTTAAAAAAATCTGCTATTTTCCGTAGAAAAAATTGAATATGGATATCATTACAAAATCTGTTAGACTGTTATAGCAGATGAACACGCAAAGTTTTAGTTCACTTTCTAGGACAGAAAAAGGCCTAAAAACGGTTTCTTCATCTAGATTTTCCACATGCCCGATTCAGACAAAGGCCATGTTTAGATATCGATCAAAGCCTGCTCAGGCTTGCAATCTAATCATGCAATCTAAAAGAGAACTATTATTTAATATCTACGTGCTTTTTTATTTAGCTATATACAACAATGTTCCGCACAGGACTAGACATCTCATATAGCGAAACAAGCAGTTTTGCTATAGATGTCAATTAAGCATAATTTTTACTGTCCATAATTAAATAGTTTGTTTAAGGCAAGAAACATGTGTGGAAGCTGCTTCAGACGAATTCCTTTCTTTGTCTAGACAGTTCCTACTCGTCTACTATTGAGAATATTCTTTCAGGATGAAAAACATTGTTTCTCCGTTGTAACGTACAAGCGGTTTTGTTTGTTTGAATGTTCTTAAGGCATTAGCATTCGGATCAGAGGTCAGAAACCCGTTTATTTTGTGTTGTTTTTATATTCTCATATTCTGATGCAGATATTTTTAAGCGTATTTACCTCTAATGCTTAATTTCAATCGTGGATTAATGAAGTCTTCGTATCTATGCTTTGTTTGGCATGTGGGAAGAAACTGCTATTGCTGTGCTAAACAAATTACGGATTAGCCTCAAATTGACTGCTGGTGCAATTTATTGCTGTCGGTTAAGGCCAATTTCCATTTGGCGAAAATTTTTCGCTTTTTTGCCAGCGAAAGGTTATGAGCATGCGTATTTGAATTTTTTCGCTTCCTGTGCTGTGCGAAACGATTTAAAGTATCAAAAACTTGATGGACATTGAAGCGATCGAAAATTTCAGGAAAGATGGCAACGTAATTCTGGGAATCTGTTATGTAAATAAGCATTGTAGAACGAAACGGCGGTGTGGTCTTAATTTTCACGAATTGGATTTTCCAACGAAATATCCATAAATATTTCCTACCTCTAGCGCTAAAACGATTATGAAGAAGTTTTATCTTCGAGCCTTGACATATTTGAATATGCGAAATGCAGAAGTTAATTAAGAAAATAGGTTTGGTGGCATGGCATGCATTTTAGTGGGAGTCCTTGTTATCGAAAAAAATTCTTTCAAATGTCCTGTTTTGGTTTCCTTGACATCAAAGCACTTGAAAACCGGAATATTTAATCGCGATTTTTGAGCAATAATTCGACACTTTTGCGGAAAAGCTATTTGTGTTCCTTTCAAAGCATTTCACACCTAACTATTTTTGCGGCTCATATAACAGCCCAGATCTAACCTTATGAAGGCCCAAGATAAACCATTGAAAGCAGAAAGATATATATATCTAATATAGGATAAATGATAATTGATTCAATCTGGTATAATGATTTGTTGAGATGGTCTGAAGCTAACAGATCGGACTCTTTCGGGGTCTCATAAAATGAAACATGCCAAATTGCTTTTAAAATTTTTATTGTTTAATTGAGAAAATATTAAATGAAATTGTATTTCAGCTTATGATTAAAACATTGAATTATTGTAAATTTTTATTTTTGAGTTACTTAAGCCAGTTTTATTGGTAAAAAGAATTTGTATTATGCTGCCTGATGGTCTCATGAATCCGGGATCGGAAAAAATGTACCTTTGTAGTGTGTTTGTTTGTTTGTTTGTTTTAGGGCATGTGCAAAATATTCTCAGCAAAGGCTGACACGATTTAGGTTTTTCTATTAATGATGAAAATATTAATTTTACAGCTTGGATACGGTCTGTTCGTGCGTTCATGGCCTTGACGATCATTTCAATGGCTGTCGTGTTTGTCTACGTCATCGCGGCCTTCTTCAGACCGGACTTAGTCTTCAAATTTCCCGGTGTCATGTCAGTTATAACAGGTACTTACAATCTAGATACTGTATTTTCAAGCATTACAGCTTCAGGTGCATTAACATTCCCACTGAAGACCCTTACTTTTAACTACATTAAACAATGCATTTGTGATATGCCAAACGAATTATGAAACAATGGATAATTTGCAGCGCACAAAGGAACTTACAACTAGATATAATAAAGTAGGGGCATGGGGGGTTATCCCGGGGCATGGTGCCAGTAGGGGACCTATTTTAATGCCAGAGTAATATGCTCTAAGTACGATTCCACTCAATGTTTTATAGCCAAAATATTCACTTGAATATATTTATAATTAATGCACTATTTAAAATAGTTTAAACTAACGAGTGATGGAATAGACTTTCATTTGTAGGACAATATCGGCAAATGGTATTTTTCTTTTTTCGAACGGCTTTTTCTCTTCCAATTGCTTACCATTACTAGTTCAACCACTCTTCCATTTTATGGTAATGCAATAAAGAAATTTGGAGCTCAAATACCTCTTTACTGAACCGTTTATGAAGTTGTATTGCCTCTTCAGTCAAAGTTGGTAAAACATCACGTGTTTCAAATGGACAACAGTTTTTTTCTAATTTCCTGCACTGTTGTAAAAACTCGAGCTTATGAAATATGCTGGGCTCCTAAAAATCTTGTTTAAATTCTTGCTATAACATTGCCAAAAGGATCATTGAAAATATATATCACAAAATCTTCTCCTAACTTGCGCTTCATTTCCATTAAAGAATGCCTCAAGCTCTCCTTCTTCGCGGACTGTGTTTCCTTCAAAATAATGTCTTGTCGCAAAAGCAACCGTTTTTGTAAGAATGAGGATCAGAATCTTGTATCACACTTAAGTCAGCAGAAGACAGTGAAATAAGTTGAAATGAATCAAAAGGTCCAACGAAATTTGCTTGGATGCGTATGGAGAGAAGATTGTATAAGTAAGGCTTAATGTGTCTGTGCGTATACTCAAAACACATCATGACAGAGCAGTAGGCATGTTCCCTATACTTTGTAGTATTCGGAAACAAACAGCTTCTAAACATTTCAACATGATCTAAGTTAGCCAGAGAAGCATTTTCTATAAACAGTTTGATTGTCATCGCTTTCAGTATGAATTCTTAATTGTCTATTGCCTTAACCAAAAAAATTGTTTGTTTTAGCTCTGTTTGCCTTGTTGGCATTAGCAGTCTACACAGGAAAGTCAGGTGTACCAGCGGACAACAACAGGTTGAAATCTGCATTCTCTTGGTCATTTATTTTGGGATGGTCTGGCTGGGTGCTGAATATAGTCGTTGCAGTGCTATGCTTTATCATCCCTGATGACTTTGATAAGATTCAAAACAACAAACTCTAAAATTCGTCAAAGTACTCTTATTTTATAGATTTTTCTAAAAAAAATTTGATTTGATTTAATTTGAAACATTTTATTTATTGGTTTTATCAGATCAAACTTTGCAAAACAGTTTCGCTAGCTTTTTTATTGTTTTAAAAAGATCGTAAATATCCTGCAGTTTACATGCTAGCGTCTCATGGAACCTTTTCTACTTTACAACATATGTAAAAGATTAAAATATGTAATAGAATTACATGGATGCATGCACAATAATACGTACATTTCTATGAATTCAATATTTTGTTTTCTTTTCAAATAATCCTGTTTAGAAATTTGTTTTTTATTATTTCAAAACATTCAAAAGTTTATGAAAAAACTCATATGCATTGTATCGATCGAATAAATATTTTGGATATCAATGTTTTATTTATCTCAATATCACGGCAGTTGATAGAAAAATATTAACCCAATGAGCTATGTGTAAACAAGATAATCAAATTTTGTTAAAACCGATGAAACTATGTAATAAGTCAGAAATCTTTGAGCTTTTTGCTGCTTTGATAATTTAAATCTTTATGGCGTTATGTTTTGTGGTGGGTGTTTGAATTCTAAGCACAATTGTCAGGATAAAGCTAGTGAGATAATTATCTTATATTTTGTCAACAAAAAATGTTGTACTTTAATAGGGGATGTACCATTTTGAAAGGCACTGTTCATAGCAAGTATACTTTGAGTAATTTCTTATGATATGGTTGCTTCACGATCTATTTTCCCAGGCTCTTACCGAATTCTTTCAGGTGTGTACACAGTAGAATTTCCTTAAGAGCATCTTATAAGGGTTTGATTTCAATACTTCTTTGCCGATAACATTGACAAAATAGCAAAATCTATGGTTATGCATCGTCTAGCTGGTATTTTTAAATTAGGCCCGATAATCGAATAATTATTATACTCTGAATACTCAAAATAATTCTTATTCTGTGAGATAACTTAATACTTTCCGTTTTCACTGTCAAATTGACCACTTTTCTCCATTAAATCAACAAATTTTGCACCAAGATTAATGTTTTCATTTTGTTTTAGCGGTATTTGATTTCGTCATAAAAAAGTCATTTTATTTCAAGCAAGAAATGTATATTCGACCTTTATTTGTAGATGGCACGAAATAGAAGGAAAATAGCATGCTGAAATACTTATTCCGGATACTCTTAAGAGTTTAAACGTTTGATTTTTAGTCCTACTTTTATGATAAGAACTACTTTTCGTCCGACAATCTTCAGAGTATGAACGTCGGATAGTGAGCGAAATAAGCAGAAAACTTATATTCAGATGTTGATCGAAATAAACGTGAATGGAATTGGGGCACCTTAGTTAGAAATGATGACAAACGTTGAAAGGTAGAAATGATGGATCTCCCATTTAAGACTAGGACTCTATGGAAAATTTCAAAAGAACTGCTCATCCCAAATCTTCATCTCGAAAATATTTGATGAAATTCGCCTATCCATTCACGTTCGCAAAATCCAACCCAAAAAAGTTTCGTTTAAGGTCTTAAAGCTAAAAGGAACGCGAAACGCATTCTATCCCACATGCATGCTGTTGAACAAGCGCATCAAAGGCGCCAAGTATGAGGAGGGAAACACCTTTTCCTGCGGTTAGCTGTTGATCTTGCGAAATGATGTACAGATTCAAATTCTTGCAAGCTGCATGCCGCCGCGCGCAACCATGTCACAAAGATGAAAAGTTTCCCGATGTGTATTAAATATTAGATGATTTGGCAATTCTACAGTCCTGGAAAACAGTTCAACAACAATGGCGGATCACGAATTTGATCCCAATAGCATTATCCCTTGTACGTTTTTCAATAGCCAAAGACAGTTGCGAATGAAAGAACGTGTCATCAACATGCTCTCAGGAGAGTAGCTTTGAACATTCTACCATTTTTAAAACTGCTGTAGTACTTTGTGAGAAGCTACGTAAAATCATAAAAGTCTGTGCCTAAAGCGTTTGGCTATGTCCATTAAGCTATTTTGTAGTTATTAGCTGATTCTGCAAGCAGCGAGCTTTCTGGGTAAACCAACAAGAACATCATTATTGAAAGAAGAGAAGCACGTGCCAATGGCTTAGGTGAGTTTCTTGTTTTCCTTTTGTCAGCTCGTGGCCTTAGCGCTTTTCGTGACCAAAGTTTACATGATCGCACCATTAGATAACTATATTGTTGAGTTCCTGCAAATAGTATCATTAATGCCACTGATGACAAACTTTCATGATGCCTGTTGGGTTAGTAAACGCGGTATCGGAAAAATATACCGCTCTAGGCATCTTCGTTTGGTTAATTCAAAAAACGCTACAATGCTTGCCAAATCAGTGATTTGAAATCACTAGAATCACCCAACAATATTCATTGTTTGTTTATATTTTTCTCCCAACTACATCTTCTTCCGCTACCCCTTCCCCAAAAACAATGTTAGTAGTATAGAAAAATACCATACGACTTGCAAAAAAACATGCTTTGTTATTTCCTACGCCGTTTTGTAGTAAACCAACTGTTGGTTACCAACATGTCAGGGCCATCGGAGCCGGGGGGACACGGTGGCACAGGCCCCCCTGTTTGGAGAAAGTGTGAAAAGTGCCCTTTTTTGAGAAAAAAATATTGCGTGTACTATTTTGACAGCGAGATATTTCTCCTTTAGACGCAAAGTAAAACAACTTAATTCTTAATTTCTAACAACATTTACTGTGAAGGAGACTGTCTCTTTGGCGAAAAAATTTCCTCAGTGTGTCGCCAGTTGTTTCCCAGCCGGTTACACACCGTATTCTCTCTAATGAACGCCGGGGTCACTCATTTCATTTTTTGGCCTCAGAGAGGGGTGCTCATTGAAGATAGATAGATATCAACCAATAAAAAACTAAGCTTTGAAATTCAAACGATCATTGTTTTTACAAAAATCAATATTACATTTGCATCATACTTGTTAAAGCAAAAAAAATTTACAAGATGTCAAATTCTTCCGGGTAGGAACCTTCGTCGATTTGCATAAACACTGACGTAGCATCTTGAATATCTGAATTTACAACACCATCTGTAATGAGCACTCATTAGAGATTTTTTGCACAAAAAGGAAGCGCTCATTAGAGAGAAAACGGTAGGTCAACCAGTGTACTGTGCAGTGTATATAAGCTCGGAAAACTTGATTTATCTAAAGATAACAATTTAGCTGTTTATTTTTGTCTTGCTAAATTTTGGAAGAGATAAAGACTGAAAATTTGCTTTGAAATAGATAGAGCCTAAAAATTCGATAAACCCTTTCAATTTTGTAGACTATATTTTTTTGTTTAAATTGTAAGTTTTTGTTACTTTTATATGAGTGGTTGCATTAATGTGGAATTATTTTTTTTGGTATGTTGTAATTGATCAGAATATTTGTCGAATATAATGCACCTGCCATAAAAACGGGGGAAGGATGTGAACAAATCGAATTTTAAAGAAAATATTAATCATACAATGACGAAACGTTCACACAAACGAAAGATGTGTTATTTTTTCAAATTTCTGAATCACCATGAAAACTGTCCTATTTTGGCAATAACCAATGTTACGAAAAAATATATGTTTAAATATAATATATAATATATGTTGACAAATGATAAAATATACGCCCTTTTTATACCTTCTGGCCTCCCTGCTTAAACCTGCGTCCGGCGGCCCTGACATGGCTAAAAGGGGAGAAGGGGATGGTTGAATTCGCCCTTGAAAACTGTCTATAGTAAAACTTTTTGCAGACATTGTAGGTAAAAAAGTTTCTATTTAGTACGTTTTAAAAACTTCCAAACGGTCTCTTCTTTGATTAACTAACTCTAGGGTCTAGCATGGAATTAAAGGTGCATGTTCGAAAAAAGAGCACCAAGGTCTTACCAAGCAAAGTGAGACCCACGTTATGTTAAGCCAAGAAATACCCCTAGTTTAATCAAAAGAATATAAATTCTGTATTCTGTATTCCTTGAGCTAGAGTCTTGGCAATTCACGCAGATGTTGGGTCAAGGTACAAAATATATTGGGGCACTGCAGATTGTTACAGAGTTACAGAGTTGCCAAAAGCAACAGGCAAATAATGCACCAAGTATATAGTATTTCAGAATATCTATGAATATTAATCAAGCCTTTTTAGTCACCTTTAACTTAGAGTGGGATAAAATGATTAAATGGTATTAGCATAGATCCAAAAATATAAGTTTTGTCAAACAAGCTAGTCAACTTTTGTATTCAACCTATATTCTCTTAGTTTGGAGTCTGCTTTGATAAATAGTAGATAAGGTTCTGTCTGGTTTGGATCAAAGGTTTAAATTTTGCTTTTCTTTGTTTAAAGTAAAACTGTACCTCTGGGTCGTTTCAAGCCTAATTAAAAGGATGTGACAAATATTTCTTCATCATTTATGTGTATTTCATTACAGGAAACTTGAATTTCGTTCTATTTTAAAAAGAATGGTGGGAATTATATTCAGTTGTGTAACAGCGCATCATGCAACACAGAGACATGAAGCATAGACAGCATTTGCATGTCAATCAATGTAGGTTTGTTTTTCATATAATTAACATTTTTGTGCAATATCATAAATATAATTTTTATTCATTCTTTGAACATTTATTTATAAACAGATTTAGTGTTCACGAACAATATTTTCTTAGGCTGCATAAATCTCGATAAAAGCTTTTTAGGCGAATAATGATAATTCTTTATCTATTCTTACTAGATTTTGCATTTTGAAGACATAAAGCTTTTTTAAACCGATATTTTCTAGAATTTTACAGAATGACAATTGCAACTGAATGCTGTATTTAAACAAAGGTAATAAGATAATGCTCTTTATTTAAAGCTACAAAAATCTATAATTTGAAAACCATACTCTAGTGTCTCTAATAGAAGGGGGAGGTGATAGAAGGGGGTGTTCATTCCGGCCAATTTTCAATAGAAAGGGGCTGCTAATTAAAAGGGGGTGTTCATGTCGGCCAGTTTTCAATAGAAGGGTGTGCTAATAGAAAGGGGTGTTCATTTCGGCCGGTTTTCAATAGAAGGTGGTTACTAATAGAAGGGGGTGTTCAGGTTGACCAATTTTCAATAAAATGTCAGCAAATTTCAATAGCAAAGGGGAGCTAATAGAAGGGGTGCATGTTTGTAAATCTTTTAATTAAAAAACGGTGTCTTGGGAGGATTCCCCTCAATTTACGCGTTTCGTTCTCACAGAAAGGAACCAACTCTTTTTTATAAATCATATCGCTTTTTTATTCAATTTTCTGCGTGTTCTGGTCATGACAGATTTGTAAAATTTAATATAAAGGGGGGGGAGCTAATAAGCGACGAGGTGGAGGGCAAATTCTTCTTAAATGAATGCACAAGGGGCTGTCTATTAGAGACACTAGAGTACTTAAAATAAAACACCTATTGCCGAAATTTGACTTTTGCTGACCTATCATCTTTCTGTGTAGAATATCAACTTTTGTCAATATGACAATACCCAAATTTTTCTAATTATTAGACTAGAAAAAACTCTCCGTTTTCCATTAAATAATTTTTCTAGTAACCTTGTAATAAAGACATTTTGCTAATTCAATTTTTCAATTTCGTTTTACTTCCTCTACCTCTATCTACTTGCAGTGTAGAAATATTTTTGTGACGTTAGTTGGAATTGTTTTACATGGATTCCTTGATCTCTCATAACACACCATCCCTAAAAACAACGATGAATTTTCAAGGAATCGCTTTAGTTCAGTTTGAAGCAAAATAGTTTCTTGCAAAAAGAGATAAAAAACTAAATTTAACCTCCTCATTACGAGAATGCACAGCTTAATCTAGTGAATTTATGAAACGAAAAAGACTGTTTGTGACTGGGAAAGAATTATTTGTATTTTGCTTCAGCGTTTTGCTGGTTGTCCTCTTGAGTAGACAATCAAGTTAAAATATTTTGTAGCAATCTAACCTTGGACACTTTATAAACAGCGAAGCCAACAACCATCACCTTTATGCCTAGGCTCCTAGATAGGTAAAATTTTACTGAAACGTCAATGCTGCATTTGTACTACAAAAATCTCTTTTAAATCCTTGTGCTGTTCGGTTTTTTTTACTAGAACTTTTCTTTAAATCATAGGGATTAAATTTTATGTAGGCGTTTAAAGTAGGTTTCCTTTTAAGGTTTATTCAGTTTTTCATTCTCGTTTTATGCAGAAATCGATGCGACCTCTAGGTTTTCGCTTTACATTATCTTCTCTTGGCTATCGAGATCTCTGAAAGCTTAGAGACAGGGTTTGACCCTAGTTGATGTTTGTATTGCATAAAGAGAAGGGTTCAATGGCCAACTGACCATAACGCCACTGCAGACATCGCAGCTAGAGAGTTGCTTTCTCCCTTGCAACCTTGCCTTCTTTGCTCTTGGCATTTCTTATTCATTTTAAAGCTAACAGTGACTAGTGTCTTCCCAAAACACCCTTGAAATGTGTAGTTAGATGTCATCTATTGATAATATCACATTATATTTGTGTTATGTCGTTAAATTTGCATAATAAGCAGATTCGTAGAAAGTGTGGCTTGATACTTCTCCGAAAAAAGACTTGATAGACCGGAATATCAAATCAATCATTTTAGATCAAGCATTTTTAACTGCAATGCCATGCCTCGTATTTAGCTAGAGCCTGCACCAGATCCAGTAAAGTTTCATGTTGTTCTATAGGCTCTTTTGATATCTCGTATTCTCGTACAATTTTATCAATACTTGCACACGGTTCACTATTTTACAAGAACACGTTTTTTTAACACAGCTGGAATGCTGGTGACAATGTAAAAACAATAAAAGACGATTACATCTTTAGCTCAGGTTGTGACAGCATTTTTCAACAACCATCCTTCTGAAATGAAAAATACAGTTAAATTTAGTAATTCTCATCAACCAGCGGTATAGTTTGTTTGATCAAAACGTACCTTCAAATTGACTCCCAGTGCTCTCACCAAAATAGCTACAATCACTACCAAAATTACTTGGAACACCCAACACTTTGCGCTGTGCTTTTCTATTTTTCATTTGTTTTCCTGAATACAACTACTTCCGTCCCCCTTTCCCCCAAAACAATGTTGAAAGTATAGAAAAATATCATACAAGGCACACGAAAAAACGTACTCCATAATTCCTTCCTTCTTTTGGCAGTGATTGTAGTTCGATTTAGAAGGATGTTGAATTTCAAGCAAGGTTTTCACTGAATTTCAAGCAAGGTTTTCACGAGGTAGAAAAACTTGCAAATGCCTTGTAATTTGTGAGGCAACCCTTGTCTTCGAGCCAACGAGCATGCGTAATAATGATCAAGCTTCATGCTTTTTGACACCAAGATAAGGGCTGTCCCAAGCATTAAACGACCCTCTTTTGGTCACTTCTTCTACGTAAGCTCCTTTTCAAGAAGTTGTTTATTTCTGCTATAGGCATTATCATTGTCAAATTTCTTCTAGCACCTTAAGTAGCTATGGCTAAAACTGATTTCGTATTCTTCATAGCAAATGTGGCTTAGATGTTAGCAAATGTATGTACATCGTAGCTGAATGCAAACTTTTGTCATACAGTTTATAGAATGTCTGCCAAAACTTTTGGAACAATGCGGATAGGTGTCTAGGACGTATGCTACCAGTGGATAGGCAAATATCATACAACCGAGGGGTGGATTTAGGGGGCAGTTGCCCCTCCCTCGCCGAGTTGAAGCAAGTCTAGCGCCCCTTATTTGGAAATTGTGCACTCCTTTTGAAGAATGAGAATCAAGTGAGAAAGTTTCTGAGACGTATAGGTTAATTTACTTCAAGGATTTCCTCAAAGTATACAACAGTATTGTAAAAAATGTCCTTACAAAGTGAATACAGCGAACACTCGTCATCAATTTCTGACAATTTTTCAGCGCCCCCACTACCAGCTGCCCCTCCTTCAAATTTGCTCTGGATCCACCCCTGATACAACCAGCCAGTGTCACACGACAGAAAGTGGTTCCTTATTTTCTACATCTTTTTCCAGTGAACCATTCTTGTTCCCTTATTTGAATTTGAATGTAATCCTGAATTTGCCCTTGCAAACTGCCGTAATTATCTCAAGAATAATAATATGATATTGATTTACGTGCACGTTTTCAGTGACTGCTCCCACTAGTATTTAACTAGCAAAGCCGAGTTTGTTGTTATTCAAAAATTGAGTTACATCTAAAGTTTATAGACGGGAGAAATTAACGTTTTTTGTTGTCAATAGTTAAATCCAGCATGAAGATATGAACCTTTGATCTAACTTGCTACATTGGATAGAAACGGGTTTGCGGCAAATAAGCATCAAAGGCAAGAATTAATTGGTATCATGGACATAGATAAGAAAAGACCATCCTTGGTTTTAATACAGTGAATTTCCTATTTGATGTTATTGGATTTAGGGCTTAGGCTGTTGCTATGGCAGAAGAGGACCTTCTTATGCGCTGAAATCCCTTTAGGATTTTGAAGTAGGACTGTTAGTAATCATCCTTCCGCAAGACATACACCCATCAATAAATCGACATTTGTATTATGCTGTTGCGTAGCAAAGGTTTTGCCTTTTTTGCATAATCCATCAACACAGCGAGAGTATTTATTAATATCAATATATTTGAAATAGCAGCACCCCCACATCGAAGGGATTATCAAACAAGAAATCTTCGAAGTGCAGTATCTGCATTACGTATTTCATGCATTGTCCACGGCATTCGGGCGTTTTGATATCTTCGACTCTCGAGCTAACGGTATGCATTCTTGTTCAATTCATTGTTTTTGGGAACACTTCAAATGCTTTGGGAACACTTCTTATTTGTTTGTGCCTGATCTTGATCTTGTGCCGTATGCTGGTAAATGATTTTGGATACCTTCTCTTAACATAAAAAAGAATTGCACAATTGTTTTTTGATTTTACAAAGAGCTTGCCCACAGACTGCAAGGTTTAAACTATTTTATGATCTTCTATGGTTCTTAGGTTGATAAAATTGATAGGAAACATTTGAGTTGGTAAGACTGATAGTCTGCAATTTATCCAATTACGACCAGTGAATCTTTTTAGTAGCTAAATTTGAACAATTTCCAGAGCTGGTAATTGAGCGTGAATTTCAGCTTTACCCCTTGTGTCCCTCCTTTCCCTGTTATCGTTCCCTGTTTTCTTTTTCTTCCCATTTCGGCTATTAATTTTTCCTACCCCTACACACGCCTGCATCCTCTGCAACTTAACCATCGCAACTTAATCATCGTTGTCTTTAAAAGTAGATACTCCGGCAGAAAAAGTTTTTACAAAAATAAAATGCGACAATCTTTAAAGGTTTTTACTCAAAGCAAGGGGCATCTCGGCAAACAGACCGCACAAGCTCAATAATAAAGTTGCTTAGTTATAAAGCGTTAAGGAGGTTATCACTCTTATGCATATCGACGACCTACCGTGCCAGACGGCATATCGGACAATATATAATTCATCTTTGCAATTTACAAAACATGAATACATGGCTGTATGTTAAAAATCTCTGCAGGAAATGCATTACAATTGGGTGGTACATGCTGTGTTCTCAGCTTGCTGACTAATGAGTTTACGAGTCAAAGCATGTATAATTTATCAATTATTAAACGTTTTCTAGCTACAGATGATTTGCGGCTTCACTTATATTGCAGGTTGCAAACCCTGATTACTTATAAAGCTTGCGGGGTAATTTTTTATTTCAGACTTCATTACAAGTGTCCGTATTGTGATAATGGGGCTAATGCAGTTTTGGGAGGCTTTTTTTATCCGTTCCACTAACTCACAGCAAAAGAGAAACGCGTTGTTTCATGGTAATAATTGAAAGAAATTTTGTAATCCGTTTTCTTTGAACATCTTTGTTGGCTGGTTGAGCAGCATGCTAATCTCATAAAAGAAAACTACATCAATTGGGTTAGTTGCATTGTGCTCTGTACGGAGTTTACTGAAAATTCTGCAATAGCAAATTGCTTGGAATGGGACGTTGCATCACGCGTGGCTTGAAGTTTACGAACTGGATTGCAGGTTTCAGAATTCTTCAAGCTCCGTACAAGGTAGCTTGGCATATCAATTCATACTCTTCTATGTAGCTACTTGTAGAGCTTCAATGCTGATACAATATTTCCATGCTACAGCAAATCCGAGGGGCAATTCACTCTTGCAAATAGCGTACGAGCTTTTCCCTTAGGATTTATAGGGATTTTCAGATAAAACAATAGGATTTTCACAAAAGGTGTACGAGATTTTCTTGGAGTGATTTGCCCTTCGAACAAATCTTTATATTTCAATCAACTACGATAAAAACCAGACATAAATAATGCATTTTGTTAAAAGATTTCTATCTAGTGTCTGAACAACTATCGTAGCTTTGTTTTGCGGCGCTGATAGTGAGAAGAGAAGTCACCTGTTATGAAATATCCAAGCTTCGTAATTCATAAATGCTGCACAAATTATCGTTCACTGGTCGAGGTTCTGGTAGCCAACTATCAGAGCTAAAGAAAATGAGGTGGATGGCTAATGCACAGTCTAGGTGACGTTATCATTCAAAATTTTCAAACGTCCAATATTTAAAATAGAGAGAGAATAGTGTAAAGTTTGGGAATTATCAACCCTAAGGCAATATATAACGTTTTACGTTACTCTGTGTTTTGAATCGACGACTATAATAATTTGCTACATATTTTACATATAGTTTTGAAACTTAATTTTCCTGCTTTAAGCTTTTGCTGCGATTGACGTTAAGGCAAATTTGTACAATAGTCCAAAGCATTTTAGATAACCAGTTGAGTTCCTGAGCTGGCCTTTATATTTGCTAACCTTTATACATGAAATAAGCTTTTTCTTTATGTTTGCTTACCTTGACGCTTGCTTACTTTTTTGTTTACTTACCTTAATGGTTTTTCTACCTTATTGATTTATTGCCTTTATACTTACTTTCTTTTAGTTTGTTTATCTTGTTATCACTTACGTTTATGCTGGCTTACTTTTTTGTTTACTTACCTTAATGGTTTTTCTACGTTATTAATTTATTGCCTTTATACTTACTTTCTTTTAGTTTGTTTATCTTTCTATTACTTACCTTTATGCTGGCTTACCTTCATGCTTATATATCTTAATATTTATTTCTCTGTTTGCGTAGACTAGCAACTAATAAGTAATGTTCTTAACATTATATTTTATGTACTTAGTTGCTCTTTACTAATGAAGTGTTGATGATTACGATTTATGCTTAGGATTTTCAGGACAAATATTATAGAGCCTTTCATTATTATTTCAAAATTCAAATTTAAATATCAATAAAAACATAATATTCCCAAATATAATTTCACGTATATCAATTAAAAATTAGCTATACATAGTATACAAGATAAATTTGCATAATTTCAAAAGTGTAGTCATATCCATATTTGCAAACTGGAATGCATATAAATTCACATTAATTTGCTTCAATCATTATCTTTCGGGTCATTAACTTTTAAGAAATATATGAAAGAATATCTGTATTATGATTTTTTAAATGATTTCCAGATGCGACTAAAAGAATAGAAAAATCCCTCGCACTTCATCACCTGTTAAGATTTTTTAAACGGAGATTTTTCTGCACTATATTTCAAAACCAAGCTCCATGCTTCAATCGATTATTCTTGAAATAATTTCACATGTTTACATCTTACAACGCAAGAGTGCTAAGATTGTTTCGGACGATCTAGAAATGTCCTAAAAGATTATTCTTTTAATATAAGTTTGCTAACGTCGTCTGCTAGCAACAAAGAAATTAAAACCTGTTATCACTAAGACAACTGGTATTTATTAAATATCCTTTCAAAGTTATGAAAATGTAAATTCACTTAACGCAAACCACTTTAGAAATTGAAGTTGATTGTTTCCATAACATAGAATCACATCCAAAGCAAACTCTTATTTTGTATAATGTCATTGTTTTATGTCTTTACCTCTCATACGTCATGGTCTTACTTTAGAGACGGTCTCTCGTGATTTTTAAAAGTGGATCGATCTAATAAGCACCTTTTAGATAGTTTTAGCACCTTTCCTGTACAAAGCCCATCTCATAAGCTTTTATAAAAACCTGATCACCAGAAGTGCTATTTTTTATTTCTTATAAAGTTATGTTAGGGGGGGTGGGGTTCGAATAGACAGTGGTTTGAAATGTTTCAAATTTCAATGAAAGGTTTTGAAAAATTACAGCTCTGTTCCATCTATTTGGCTAGATTGCCTCCTGCTCTGAGTCAAAATTCTAATAGAAAATTCAATCTCATTTTAAGTGACTAATTTCTTTGCCAATTATAAAGGCAATAACTGGCAATATGCTTTTGATTTGCTATTTAGAGATTGAAAAGGGGGCAGGCGTTGTGTAACAGGACCAATCAAATAGTAAACTGTAATCACATGGCAACTCAATTATAATTAAAAGTAGACAACATGAGAGATTGGAAATAAGAGGTTGATTTGAATACAGAGAAAAGTAGTATTCCATTTTTCATCGCTCTACGGTTACGACCTATCACAGTTGTTAGAGGTGGGGGAAGGAGATAGAGGAAATTTAATGGACAGGAACTGAAGTATCGATAGGGCTTGCTGTTTTTGGACTGCTACGGTGCTGACGATAGGCCGCCCTGGGGGTAAATTTCCCCAAGTACTCTGGGCTTTTTTCTGGAATATTTTTGCTAATTTTTGCATAGTGTTGAATTCTACACCCCTATTACTCTTCTTTAACCGTGAAATGTAAGTTGAGTTCTTTTCAGAAATCAGCTGGTTTTGTGCCAAAATATATTCTACTGTGACATTTATAAAATTGGTACCTTTAGTGTGTGGGATGCATTTGTTTGCTTCTGGTCATAACTTAAATTCTTGTTACTAGCTACTTAATGGAGGACCATGAAATGTATCACTGCCAAGCAAATGTCAATGACCTTCAAATGACCAGATCTATTTGAATATTTTTTGAAAGATTGAAGTTTTAAGTGCCTGTGACATGACTTGTTTTATTCTCTTAATTGAAGCGATGCACTGCTCTTATAGTAGATTCAAATTTTTTTTTAAACAAAAGCGTTTTGATATTGAAATTAAGCAAAATAGGGCGGCCTAGCCAAGTCGCTTTATCACCATTCGCCGTTCTCTTGTGACGTCATGGGAGGAACTCGTTATTGTAACAATGTAAGCGCTACCTTCAAAAATCTCATCCTCGTTGCCACTACTTTCTCTGGAAATATCGCTCATCTTGGACCTGTTAGATTTCCCTCATTGACTACGATACAAAAACTCGAAGGAGGAGGCGATCGGGTCCCTCCCGTGACGTCATTGTCTACTCATTCTGAGAACCAAGATGGCGAATTTTGGCGTAGAAGATCGCCAATAACTCCTTCATTTCTCACGAAACGTAAAAACTAAGTATAAACCTAAATATTCTTATGAAAATAACAGGACTTTTTACATACGAATAGATATATAAACCTAAAAGTACGAAAATCATGTCACAGGCACTTCATGTCACAGTCAAAGATCTGACAACCTTGTGTTACAAGTTTAATGACTAGTTTTTTCACGGGGATTGCAGATGAATATGACAGGGGACAGAGAAATTGGCCGCTCGGGGTCAAATGGGTTAATTTTCTATGGGTCAAGAAAACTTCCCGTATTGCTATGCAGAATACCTCAGCTGCGAAATGGAATATTCTTGGCTTTTTTATCGAAAGAAGACGATTTTCAACGTGCTTATTATGTAGGGGGTGTGAGCTGGGAGCTGGAGTCTTTCAAAAACTTTCATTTTGCAGCTCTTGAATTAGTAGAGAGTGCGAGAAAATAGCCGACCTGAACGAGGCTCGAACTCACGACCCTTGACTTTGTACGTCAAGTGCTCTACCCTTAAGCTCTTGAATTCTTTGACCGCTCAATAAATGTTTGAGTGATTCATGTTACTCACTTTATTTAACTTTGTTTTTCTTCAGCAGATCGTTTCCAAGGCTCAGTTTTTCAAGTTAATGGTTAAAGAGAACAGTTCGAAGATATCTACTAACAGACAATGAGACAGTTAAAAGAATGTAATGGTGGATTACCTTCATAACAATATTACATCTATTTCGCTATTGTACGAGTTGTTTAGCTGAGACCAAAGATACCTGGCCCTGCTTGTCAATCAAAGCCACTGTTGTCACAAAAGTTCAGTCATGGTGCTGGTAGCCTATTGAATTGAAAGAAAAGAGTTTCAAAAAATTTATATTTTCTCAGATTACATTGTAGTTCGGGATGATTTAAACCTCAAACACGAAAAGAAGACTTCCCTGGCATTATGTCAATATGATCAAAAAACTTTGTAGCCATCTTCAAGCCTTTTTGCCACAAGAACTATTTCAGCTCGAGAAAGTGAAATAAGTAGATCACACAAAGGGTCGCGAGCTACAGATAGAAGTCATCGGCTCAAGAAATACTTCGTCAATTTACCAAAAATCAAGTTGCAATGCATGATGGACTTTATCATAAGGCTCCTTTTTAATTACAGCTGTTGGCTGAAAGTTTACATTGTAGCGACGGAGGCATTGCTGCAATCTTATCGCTGTGCAGGAGTTTAAACAATGAGGATAACGCAGTTGAGGATTTTTGCCATTGTATTAACTATGCTTGGCACACTACTAACAATCGTTGCTTTTTCGACCAATGATTGGTATGGCATCTCAACGTATTCACAGTTCCAAACTAAGTCAGTTGATTTTTCCTATGGATTGTTTTATTATTGCGCCGATGGAGATTGCTCTACAATTAAGACGAAAGAAAGTAAGTAGACATATTTTTATTGATTATTCGATGGCGGGATATCTAAGTGTCGGCTTTCTCACCTGCCTCTAAAGACTAATGTATCTTTTGGTTGCTTCTAAGGGTCCAAATGGCAAGTTCTCATCATACCAATTGTGACGCATCAAGTGTCATATTGTATCCTTGGACAGTACATTGCTTTAGAAGTACGGCTTATTTAATCCCAATTTTGCCCACCATCACTACCTTACTTGCCGTATAGTTATAAAAAAATGGTTGCAAAAAGCTATGCAACTCAAATTTTATTGATCTCTGGATCTACCGCGATTAACTTGAAAAAATGAAACAAGTATTCGTTGGAAAGAGGGTTTAGTTAAGGAATGGTTCATTGAATTAAAAACATACTGATTACTTGTACTTTTGTTTTATCACGGTTTATAATGCATTCAAAAAAACAACACCCAAATTACAGAATATGCCGTTGTGAACAAAAATTGTTTTTTTGGCAATTTATCCAGAATAAGGCAGGATTGTGAGAAAACTCTCCAGGTAACCGCGTTAACAAATCTTGGCCATTTTGTTGATTACAGTTTGTCGAGATATTAGTGAGTGGAAAATCACATGCGTCAAAGCGAAGTAAATGATATTTTTATCTTCTGTGGAAACGTCTTTCCTAATAGGATTGATCTGTTAAGGTTGACTAAGACGAAAACTAGAGACAATGACGACCAAGCCTTTTTGAAAGCCGCTTTGTTTGTGCAAGTAAAATAACTTTTCGTTAGCTTTCCAGCATTCGAAAAAGATTCTTTTTACAAAGTTTCTAACACGCAAGCCTCTCTTTGAGCCAATTTGAACTAAATTCTCACACAAAATTAACGACATGAATCAAATCTTTATGCAGCTGTGAAGATTTCTAAGATGTTAAATTCAGGACTACAGACCCCAAGGTTTGAGGTCAGGACTGCAGACCCCAAGATTTGGTCATTTCTATAGAAAGATATAGGATACTGCTTGATAATTATATATCCGAAGTTAGTGGCGAAGCCAACATTTTTTGTCGGAGGGGTACAGAAATGACTTTTGCCGATAAAAAGGCGTGTCTCACTCCTTAAGGGTGTGGTCATCAGATAAAGAATCTTATGCGCTGCTTTTATGCGATTTTATTTGAAAATTCATACTTTGGTGTCCTACTTTGAATGTTCAACTGCTACAGCAATGTTAATAGGTTACAATTGTTGCCAAAAGGTTACCGATACTGGGCCGATACTACAGACATTCATATCCTCTTTTAATGCCACTATCTTCATCAAATTTAACTTGCATTAAGACTAACGACTTTGCAAAACAGACGTGTGCTAAAACCACTTCCCTGTTTTAATTGAAAAACATTTCTTGAGAAACTTTAAGTGCTGAGGTTAAAATTTCATTTGGCTCAAAGGTTGGAGAAAAGCAGTGATTGGATTAATGGCTGCGGCCGTCATCCTCGGATGCTTGTCGATTGTCATCATCTTGTCTGTCATTTTCTGCAACAAAAAGTTCAAGCATACGAGCATACTGATGTTATTATCAGGTATTTAGCCTTTTCTTCATAAATTTAGTCTTCTGACATTAAGCTATTTTTGTTATTTATTTCTTATTGTTTTTGCGGTTCTTTCATTCATTAAACTTATCTCTTCAAGGGTCAGCCCGTCTACAATCAAACTCTACTTTAACACAATGACAGCAGCTAGCCCTGGTCAACCCACCATGCCGGGTAGCCTTTCTCACGAGTATGGCTGACCCGTTGAAACGGGTTGGCATTTTGTTAAGTTTTCTTATGTAAACACGGGTCAGCTAAGCCTGGGGTCGAGTAAATGCTTCGAAGCAGGGGTCTTTTTTACACTTGAACTAACAACTCAGGCTGACCCGGGTGAGATCAAACCTCTAGAGCAGCATGGCTCGACTCTATATCCTAAGCTGACCCCAGCCCGTGTAAGCATAATGTTTTTACTTCTGTGTGGTACTGACCCAGTGTGGAATCCAGCCCAGGCTGGTGTAGACCGGGCCTAAGATTCTTCATAGCCTAGTGTCGAAAATATTAGTAATCACACTATCTTTATGCATCGAATTGTTCATGCTATGTGAGAATTAAAGAAAAGGTTTATTTGTTCCATTAAAAGTGACTGAAGAACAACAAGACTAGTAAAATAATCACTCTGAATATATGAGTATTATCGATGGTTATCTTTTATTTTAGCGTTTCTGCAACTCGCCACATTAATAATCTTTCCACTTAAGATGAATCTTTCGAGGGAAAGTAGCTTGGGCATCTCGTATTACGTCGCTTGTGTTGGTTTGATAGTGTCTGCTGGAGCTGGCATAATTGCATTTGCTTCGAAAGAAGAGCAAGTTGCACCATTCCATGACATATCATCCTGATCAATGCTGCTTACAGAAGTGGTCAGAAGTAAATCAAGTAAAGGCATGTGAAATAAAGAGAGTTTCCCTTCTTTGTTCTTATTTGTCCCATTACAATAAATACTAACTATGAATTTCATGATATAAATATGGACGAATGACGATTCAAAATAGTCTCCATAGTATATGATAGTATACGTCAGTTTGACGCAAAAGAAAATTTGTCGTGCGGATTTTCATGGGAAGAGACAGAGGAATACAGAATCTATAAGTGAACTTGAGGATCTAAGGTCCCATTTTGCTAACTAGATCTTTTGTAGTTTTCCTTGTTCAAGTGAAATCTGTCAAGCGATTGTCATCGATTAAATCGTATGCTTTTGAAACTTGTAAAACGTTTGGTCTATTTTACATAAGTTTAAAACACAAGTTTTATAGTTCTATTAGTTACAGTTGGCCGAAACCCTTATTCTCCTTACCTTATCGCGTAAAGATAAGCGTTGCATTATCGCTAAATCTGTTTGAGGCCGCCCAATAAAGTTCCAGCATGTGTGGATTCGACCAGAACAGAACGGATCCAAATCAAAACAGTGAGAATCGCAACATCTATTGCAAAAAGAACGAATGTACCCTGGGTACCAGGGCCATAGAAATTCGAGCGCGTAAACAGAATACTAAGCAGAGAAGCGGAGGAGTGCTCCACTCCTATCTTCTATCTCCGTTCTTGAATTTATGTGGCTCTGGTACCTAAGGCAGATCGAATGAAGCAAGCATACATCATTTCCAGAAGTATGCAAATAAGCAAAGATTCAACAGTATTTTATTCTTTCGACCTCGTGTGCACTCAGTGTATGACCTCGATTTAGATTTATCTTTTATCTGTCAAGTTTTAACATGACATCAATTCGAATGGCGCCAGATCTGTATATATTAAACGACTGTAAAGTTCATGATCAAACTAAATAATTTATCCCCTTCTTACCAAGGTGCGATAGAAGCTATAAAAATCTTGTAGAACTCCTCTGATGATAATCTATTGACGGTTATCTCAACGGACATCTAATAAAAACATCGCATTTAATGCGAGACGTAGTATCAATCTTAAACTTAAGACATATGCATTTTGCGCATTTTCACGCTGCGCATATCAAACGATTTTCACGTTGCGCATATCAAACGACAGTTAACAAAAAATTTGAAATACCAGGGCCACTGGGACAAAGAGCTCTTGCCTTTATCTAACGTTAGCTATATGTAGCTGGCTTGAAGAATAAACATCTTTAAAACACAGAAGTGTTTGCATAAATTGAAAAATATGGATTCAGGAATATGAAAACTGTATAGGTAAAAGATAAATCGAATGAAGAAGACCATCCAGATTTTAAAATACATGTCTCATTTTGTTTTTAAATTTTACATCTATTTGGGCAAGTTTTGCTTTGGGATGCTGCAATCATATTCATTCTAATAAGGTCAATATAGTGTTTATCTTGATAAATGTTCTATCTTAATAAATGTTCTATTTGTAGTAATGTAGAGTCTAGGCATAGAATTTTATGACAAAGTTTTGGATGTAAATATTCTTTGTAATATTTTAAAATTATTTAGAGAATAGAAATTACAAAGCATGATTTGAATAATTTAGCCGGATTTCTCATTCGTGTTACTAAGACTTCTTTTTAGAATTTAGTCATTAAAAATCTATTGCATTCGAACTTTTGACTGATCTGCTCTAAGTCAAATTGAAGACGCCATAGGAACTTTTCGAGAAACATGACATCAGAAATATTTTTGGAAAGGAAATTAACCAAGTGATATGGATTCTATTTACCCATGTCAATAAGTGAAATACCACTTTCTCTCTTTTCACCGCGAAACTATCTCCCTCGAACTACAATCCCCATCCAAACGCTGATATAAGCGACTTTTTCCTCGGGGTTCCTCGAGGGTAATAAACACGGACAACCACGATAGCCTCGTATTGATTTTCGCGGGAAATTGACAAACTTCTAGATCCAGATCTCTGCCCCCATAAAGAAGGATCACAGAAGACTGCGTCCCACGAGTTGTCAGATGACAATGTTTGAAGACAGCTTCTTGAACTTGTAGAAACCCTGAAAGAGTCATAATTATGCTCTGGTCGGAAGCAACAGAAAATGTCAGGATTCTATTTGGTAAGAAACTTGCTAATTTAGTAATATTATTCCTGTTTTCGAAACGGGTGTGTTTTATTTCAAGCCAGTCTGCAGAGAGTGGCATGGTGCACACACAAAAATTTTTCAGAGGCTTGTCTAATGCACACAAAAACATAGGGCTGCACACACATTTTTTAAGTACTGGAAAATGTTTAAGGACCACCCTTTTCGAAACGTTGCTTTCCTACCTTGGTCTAAACAACATTTTCTCTGAAATTTTGAAATGCTAGTGAATTAGGATTTTAGTGTTTATAAAACACCTTTTAACTTGTGTTGATCAGGATCAGAACCATCTGATTGTCACAAGTTTAAGGAGTTCCTGTTTATAACTAAATTGGAGAACATGTCACCACTTTGTATGTGCATTTTGTGAGCAGATTGAGTTCTTCTAGATGACACTTCTCCTGATTTGAAAAGCTCTGGCATGCATTGAATGAAATATAAGGCACAGCTTTTGAGGGCTGCTCATTGAAATCTGAAAGCCTTGTGAAGTGAGCAGAAGGAGGGTCTGGGGGTACTCCCTCAGGAAAATTTTTAAGGGCCACATCCTATAGATTACGGCAGAATGGCCCTGGAGTCATCTCATATCTCAGTATTTTGATTTGCTATTTTGAAATGAGCTATGCTTGCCCTAAAGCCATTGATGCCCAGAATTAAAAATCTACTGGCTAGCATATTCCAATTCTCTGAGAAACTACAGTCTTAGGTTTATTCTTAATTTCCTAAGCAAGGGCTGGTAAGGGCCTTGCCGGCTACTAACAAGGGGCATAAAAATGTCTGAATCAAAGAATGTAAGATTATTTGGAAAACTACAGTATCTGACTTGTGCTCAAGCATGATTATAGGGTCAAGAATTTACTTGTAGGTATCATTCTGTGGACTGAAATATGTTGAAATCATTTGACTGAGTGAACTTTTAGGCAGTTACATTTCAATTCCACACCCCCATTTAGAAGTTTGACTAACTACAAGGGAGAGGAGTCAAAATAATTGAAATTTAATCATACAAAATATATAAATGACTCCATGCTAAATTGCAATCTAAAGTAAAAAAGGTATGGATGCTTGAAAACGCTTCTGCGGAAATAATTGCTGTGTACACGATGTGAGCCAAATTGACAAATACTTTGCCCATTGAAAAGTTGCTGCACACATTGGATCAAAGCTGAACAGTGTGCACACATTGCACACTTTCTCAGAACCTTTGCACACATGCACACATTTATGTTTGCTCTTGCATACACACAAGATCTTGACGAGAACTGCCATGCTCTGCAGACTGGATTTCAAACATCAGAACTTCAAAGATTGAACTAAACTAATAGGCTATCAGAATGTTCAGAGTGCTGATAGAAGGCATTGGAAATCACTCACTAAGCGCATGATGTTGAATACAACATATGGGATATTCCATATCAAGTGTACCCAGATTGTAAAGTGCTCCTCCTGGACTTTCTAAAAATTTGCATGAATTAGAAAAGCTCAACAAGAAAAGCTAACACTCAAAATTGTAGGGTTCTAGGTCAACTCGTTTCTAACACAATGTAGATAAGAGAAAGAATCCTCAACATAACACAACAGATCCTCTTCTAGATTATTAACCCTACCCCAAGTGTTTTTTTGGGAATCAGGTTTGCATTAATAATTGTTAGATATAACCCATTTTTTAAAGAGAATAAAAACCCTTATTTGTGAGCAAATTTTGAAAAATTTGTGAGTAAAAGCATTTTTCAAAAACATTTTGTGGTTTGAATGTTATTATAGCATTCATTCCTAGGCTACTGTTAATGAATGTCATAAATCTAAGACACAAAATCATTAAAGATGGCAAAAAAATTTAAAAAATCAGAACAGTGACACATGCATTTATGGCATGCATTGTTATAGCCTTATGAGATTTCATTCATTTTTTAAACCAAATCTTTTTTATGTAGATATGTATCTACCCCTTTCCTTGGAAAATTATCTTAGTTCAGCGAAAATATTATAGTTGCTTTCAGTCTTTTGGTTCTTGGAGAGGAAGATTTCATAGCTCGTTCAAATTAAATGAGAACATGGGGGAGGTGTAATGTTTTGGCAAAGCATTTTTTATGACATTTCTCTTTGATTTCGAAACTGCCTTTACTTAACCAAACATTTTCTATAGGGGTTTGAAATTGGTATAATAAGTGTTCCTTGTTGGTAGAAGGGTGTGGCATAGAATTGTTAATTTTGCTCCCACCTCCAACCAGAGCAAGTGACTGGTGCTGCCACTGTCCAAAGGTGAGAACAAACTTCTTCAAGCTATAAAAATAAAATTTTTTTTGATATACATGGGAATAACTGCTAGATGAAACAATGACAGTGCTTTGCCATTTTGCTATTATAGTCCAGAACATATTGCCATTAAAGTTTTTGGTACAATCTTGGTTTTCTAGTTTATGCTGCAAAATATTGAAATGGTTAGTTTTGGCTGTTAATTCAGACCTACAAGATTTATCTTAATGCTGCCAACTTTGTTAAATTGTGTAGTTTTTGTCTAGGCCATAGCTAGCTAGACATATCTGGCAAATTTTAATTCCTGGGCCCTACAAATCATTTTAAAATTAAAATTTTTGATTTTAAAAAGCATCAAACAACTCCAAAAATTTGAAACCTTCAAGGGAAAAAAATCATAATTGGACAGAATTTTGATATAGAAATAATTTTAACTTTCATTCAAAGAAATGTTCAACAGAAAACTTGTTTGTATTCTTTTTAAAGTTGAATTAAGGAAAAATACTAATATTTGAGGTCTTTGTTCTGGTAGGGCTTTTTCAAATGACTATGGTTGATATTTTGGAATGAAAGATATGACAAAATTATGGAATATTATGTAAATCAGGAATAATCAGTAAAACTATTCATTGTTGTTTTAGGCAATAATGACGTTGTTGGCAGCCATTTTGTTTTAGATATAACATTAATTAATAGGTCGTTTCATTATCTTTTGTTCTGTTAAATTGCAAAACTCGTTCCCTCTCCCACTTAAAAGGTTCGCCTGGTACTCTAAAGGGTACCCAGTATTTATGTAAGTGTAAGGTACATATGACAATTTAATTTATAGTCTATTAGTAATATTGTATGAATTAGAATGTTATTGATAATGAAAAGGAATGAAAGGGCTCTCTTCAGGTCCTTTATTACCCGATTTCCATTTTAGTTATAAGCATGTTCCCGTGTTTGCTTGATACCATTTTTATGTTCTTGTTTTATATGGAACTCCTCAACGACCCTCAGTTTGGTTGTTTGTAGCTGTTTCAGTATGCTATTTCTTTAGAGGAACTATTTATAGATTGCAAAGGCAGATTGCATTCAATTTTCTCTATTGCTTTGGATACAAAGACATCTCTTTGTGGCCATTAAGTTTATCCCAACGATATTTTACACTATAATGATAGTAATGTAGCTATTTTCGTTCTTGCTAATAATTTGGGCTGTTTATAGTCCGTTTGCTAATTATCTCGTATGTTTAAGCGGGCAGTTATCTTCGCCGATTTCGAAACAGTTTAAATCTAGATACGTGTGCCTGGATATCTAGCCAACTTGTTAGCTGTGCCTTCTTATATTGGGAAGTGTTTCTTTAGAAAAACTTTCTAAGTGCCACCGGTTGTATCGGTTATAGGACGGGTCATAGATCAAATTCACAAGGTGATAGGTCATAAGACGGGGCATCGATCATAATCACTCTAGGCCACTGAATAGAAGTACACATCGGTGGCTGGTAATTTATGTGATAGTTCAAAACTTGGCTTTCTTAGATGATATAACTGGTCTGGCCTAGATAAGGATTATAGTTTCAAGTATATCAGATCCTATATTGATACTGTATCGCTGGAACTTTATAAAGGAAGGGAGCTTTTATTCCCTATTTAACACGCTTTTATGGAAATTATAGCGACTGCTAAGAAATTATAGCGACTGGGTGACTGAAGCAGAGGTACTGCCAAATTATGAAACATTGCTGTAAAACTTATATGCAAGACGTATCTAAGTTAAATTGACATGTTCAACTATCCGCCAAAACCAAGCAACGTCATGAAACATTTTCACACATGCAGATCGTCAAACATCTCTATCGTGAATTTTTAGTCTTTTTGGTGGAGGGAAGTTGTGTTTCGCTGGAAAGTTGAGCTACTTCCAATTTTTTTAATATTTTGCTAGCGAATTCGGCTTTGTCCGAAAAGAGCAAAAGACATTCCAATCGCTGACGAATTCGCTGAAGGTTTCTCTCAAGTAGAAACCTGCCTTTACATGGTGGCCAAACTAAGAAGCACTTCGTCCAATATTCGTGAAACAAAACTATGTGTCAGCGTTTGATGATCTCAACGTAATTTCATGTCGAGTTTCACCTATGAGGAAATTTCCAGCAAATATTCTTAGTTTTTAGAACCATTGCAAGAAGATAAGTTCCGAGACTTGCCTAAGCGCCATCCTACCTATGCCCCCTAGATACTGACGTCACACCAATGATACTGTAAGGAAAAAATCAGCTGTGAGTTTCAGGCATGGCACGATATTGCAACACATAAACCTTTTGTTGCCGAAGCACTTTGCATGTTAACACATCAACTCTTTCTTTCGAAGTAGTAAATCTTGAAATTTAAAATAATGTGTTTATTTGAATTGCTTTTGAGAATTAGTTTCATTCTTAGGAGACCAAATCAATATCACCGAGACAACGATTTTTACAATAAGAGCTTTTAAATTGACCTGTATTGCAATAATCTCGCTAACACAGATCAAATCCACACAAGTGTCTACGGACATTATTTGGACTGGACGTTTCGACTTTTGTTTTGATGTTACGATAATCTGCACAGACATTTTGGTTCATAGAGATTAGATTAAATGCGAGAGAACGACAACATATATTTGTCCTCATGTCGGTGGAATTAATATTGATTAATTTGAGGTTGAGCGGAACAAGAAATACTTTAAAGTACCTTCTCGTCGACACA